ATTTATTTATTTATTTTGAGAGAGTGAGAATGAGAGAGAGAGAGAGAGTACATGAGAGGGGGGAGGGTTAGAGGGAGAAGCAGGCTCCTCGCCGAGCAGGGAACCCGATGCGGGACTCGATCCTGGGACTCCAGGATCATGACCTGAGCCGAAGGCAGTTGCTTAACCAACTGAGCCACCCAGGCGCCCTGCCCTACAATATTTTTAACTGTAGTCACCATGCTGTACATTATATCCCCATGACTTACTCATTTTATAACTGGAAATTTGTACCTTTTAACCCCCTTCACCCATTTAACGCACCCCCCTGCCTCAGGCAATCACCAATCTGTTCTCTTATCCACAATCTTGTTTTCTGGTTTTTCTTATAGATTCCACATAGAAGTAAAAACATATAATATTTATCTCTTTCTCTGTCCACTTATTATAAGACTGCTTATTTCACTTTGCACAATGCCCTCAAAGTGTATCCATGTGGCAAATGGCTAGATGTCATTTTTTTAATGGCTGAGCAATATTCAGGTGCATGTGCATTTTCTTTGCCTGTTAATCCATCGGTGGACACTTTGGTTGTTTCCATATCTTGGCTATTGTAAATAATGCTGCAGTGAACATAGGGCTGCAGATTTATTTTCAAATTACTGTTTCATTCAGGTAAATACCCACAAGTGGAATTGCTGGATCATACGGTAGTTCTGTTTTAATTTTTTGAGGAACCTCTGTTCTATTTTCCGTAGTGGTTGTGCCAATTTACATTCCCACCAACAGTGCATAAGGTTCCCTTTCTTCCACATCCTCGCTAACACTTGCTTTATCTTGTCTTTTTTTTAAGATCTTATTTATTTTAGAGAGAGAGCATGAGCGCTAGTGGGGGGAGGGGCAGAGGGAGAAGGAAAGAGAACCCCAAGCAGGCTCGATCTCACATTCCTGAGATCAGGATATGAGCTGAAATCAATAGACACTTAACCTACTGAGCCACCCAGGTGCCCCTCTTGTCTTCCTTTTTTTTTTTTTTAATTTTAAAAAATTTTTAATTTCTTTTTTGAGTAATCTCTACACTCAGTGTGGGGTTTAAACTCACAACCCCAAGATCAAGAGTTGTGTGCTCTATTGACTAAGCCAGCCGGGCACCCCATTTTCTTGTCTTTTTTGATAATAGTCATTCTAACAGGTGTGAGGTGGTATCTCATTGTGGTTTGACTTGCTTTTCCCTAATGTTTAGTGATGTTGAGCATCTTCTTGGGTGTCTGTTGGCCATCTGTATTTCTTTTTTGGGAAAATGTCTCTTCAGATCCTCTGCTCATTTTTTTATTGGATTGGTTTTTTGCTGTTGAGTTGTATGAGTCTTTTATATATTTGGACATTAACTCCTTATCAGATATGATTTGCAAATATTTTTTTCTGTTAGGTAGGTTGCCTTTTCATTTTGTTGATGGTTTCCTTTACTGTACAGAAGCCTTTTAGTTTGGTGTAGTCCCACTTATTTTTGCTTTTGTTTCCTTTGCTTTTGGTTTCAAGTCAAAAAATAATTGCTAAGACCAATGTCAAGAAGCTTACTGCTTAAGTTTCCTTTTAGGAGTTTTGTGGTTTCAGGTCTTATATTCATTCATGTCTTTAATCCATTTTGAGTTAACTTTTGTGTGTGGTGTAAGATAGTGATCCAGATTCCTTCTTTTGCATGTGGCCATGTACTTGTGCCAACATTATTTATTAAAGTGACTGTCATTGTATATTATTAGATTTTTTGTCATAAAGTAATTGACTCTGTATGTGTGACTTCTGGTCTCATTTTTGTTGCATTGATCTATGTGTTTTATGCTAGACTATTCATTTTCTTGATGTTATTTGACTAAAGGTGTTTAATTTTGGGAAAGTCGATTTATTGATACTTTAAAAATATTCTACTTGTATCTAGTCTAAAATACTGTTGTGTAAGTAGAGATGGTTAAAATATTTTCTGTGGGTTTTTTTGTTTTCTGATTGATTTCAAAAGTTTTTAATTTAAATTTTTGCTTATACAGTGATAATAGAAAATGCAGTTCCTTTTTACCCATTGAGTTCTTTCAGTTTTTTCTTCATTTATTAAGAAGACTGTTTTCCCAACTGAATCTCTTTGTTCTCTTACTGAATATAATTTGTGCACATGTAGGTTTGTTTCTAACTCTGTTCTATTCCATTGACCTATTTGTTACTTATTCCAGTAACTGTTCATTACTGTGGTGAACTTAGTAGTATGAATCCTCCAAATTTGTTTTTCTTTCTTAACATTGTTCTGGCTCCTCTAGATCTTTTGCATTTTGTTATACATTTTACTTATTTTTTTTATCTTATTTTTTTTTTTTCGATGCGGGGCTTGAACTCACAACCCTGAGATCATGACCTGAGTTGAAACCAAGAGTTGGATGCTTAACCAACTGATCCATCCAGGCACCCGTGGTGTACATTTTAGATTTGGCTTGAAACTTCTAGAGAAAAAGCCCGCTGGGATTTTGATAGGGATTGCATTGTATTGGCAGGTGAACTCAGGGAGAATAAATGCTACCTTAATAATAATGATTCTTGTAGTCTCTGAAAGTGATAACCCTGCCTAGGGGATATTATTTAGGTCTTTAATTTTTTTTCAGCAATGTTTCACATTTTTTGTTGTCAAGGTCTTACACAGCTTCTAACTTATTCCTAGATATTTTGTATGTCTTAGGCTATCATAAATGGCTTTTTTTTTTAAAGTTTCATTTTCCAGTTCTTTTGCTGAGGTATGTTTTTTTAGTTGAGATTACTGTGAAATGAAAATAAGATTATTTGGTAAAAGTAAGAATAATGATAAAACAGTTTTTGATTCAGGAAAAACTGGCAAGATTTGTACATGGTTTTGGGGAGATTGGAAGGTCAGGTTTCATAGTATGCTTTTCTCGAATGTAGGTGCTCCTTTCACAGCTGAAGGTTAGGGGTTGTGTGCAGAGTGGTCTTGACAGGTACCTTCAGAGAGGAGGTAAATGGTTGGAGTCATCCAAGGCCGCTCTTTTGGTCAGTAAGTGTTATAATGGGCAGAGAGTAGTAGATGTTATAGATACATAATGACTTCCAGCTGGGTAGGTGGGGTGGTGAAAAAATGAATTTTCTGTTCGGGAGCAAGATGGTAACAGCATGGGTGGCCTGGAATCCTCTCTCAAGTGAGAGAGTTTGTGTGAAGTGTTATAGAGGAGATTTTGTAGAGAGCAAGATTTCTGAATCATTATCTGCAAGGTGAAGCTGATTCCAGTGGTGACAAGGCCTGGTCTGTGGCCAAGGTGTATGTGTTGGTGTGGAGTGTGTGGCCAAAAGGCACTGGAGATTAGAACACGTGGTTCTAAGAGGACCATACTCGTGGCTACTAGAACCATCCTAAGTCATGGTGAGCCTTAAAGTTGGAAGGAAGAAGAGAAGTCTGCAGCCCAAGTGTTTATCGAGTAAGAGAGTCAGACAAGTTGTGCTTGGGGACAGGTTACCTGGGATAATGGATCTGAATCTTACTTGAGGCGCATCAGGGACCTTCCCCACATTGCCTGGAGGATTTCCTGGGAAGACAAAGGCCCGTGACAGGGCCCAAGATAGAACTTGCTGCTCCAAAGAGGAGATGCAGGGAAGCAGAAGTCAGAATTCTCCTGTGAGCCCGAGAGGCAGGACTGCTCCTACTAGTCCTTTTCTCATTTATGACAGATGCCTGCTCCAGGAGTCCCGTGACAGCTTCCAGCTGCCAGTGCCCTGTTGTTCAGACAAATCGACTTCATTCTCACGGGATGGCAGCTCTTGGTCTGTCTCCCACATGTGGTAAGTTCTTGGGGTGATAAATGGATGCCCTCAGAAGTCCAGCTTAAGTGGCCCCTGGACTTCATGGAGGTCAGGGGTGTGCATGGCCAGAGGGAGGGCTGCCAGAGAGGATGGAGCAACTGGAAAGAGGTGGGAGCAAAGTCTTGGTAGCCTCCCAGTGACTGTCTGATTTGGGGTCTTTGTGAATTTGGGTGAAGTAGGGATTGTGTGTGGTTGGTATATAAGGAAGAACTGTAATGGGTAACCCTCTGTTAGTTTTTATTATTACCATTATTAAAGGTTTCGTTTTTAAGTAATCTCTTCACCCAGCGTGGGGTTCAAACTCACAATCCTGAGATCAAGAGTTGCAGGCTCCACCAACTGAGTCAGCCAGGTGCCCCTATTATTTTTTTTATCCATTTATTATTGTGATAAATCTGAGCAGAGTGAAGGTCTGCCTCTTAGAGCTTTAATTTCTTCACTCATTGATTGAGAACATGTATCACTTTGTGGGTATGAAAGCCCACTGTCCTTTTTCCGTCCATGAGCGGAGCAGGGCTGCTCTGGCTCATTACAAGACGTTGCATGTGTGAAAGAGAAACAGGGATAGGCACTGCACACTTACAGTGGGTGTGGGGCATTTTCCTGATCTCTGAGCGTCGGGCAGGCTCTAATCCTCATGGATCTGCTCTTCTCCAGCTGTGTCTACCCAGGACCCTGCCTATATCCAGGAGTCAGAAGTTTCTCCTTCTTCAAAAGACCATTCCTGTTCTCAGGATGTGGACCTGTTTGCTTGCAGTGGCCTAGAACCCCCTATGCTGGCAGGTGTTGGTTCTCAGGTATGAGATCTCTGGGCCCCTGGGGGTGGGAGAGGCACTTCCCTAGAATGCCCTCAGCACCACTTGTTAGAGTTCTTTGAGAGCCTCCCCTAGGCCGATCAATGCCTGATCAGGGCACAGGAGCAAAAGCCAGAGACTGTTGTAAGGCTCTCCTGGTATCAGGGACCTGGTTAGGGGAAATGAACTTGTGTAGCAGGTGCTTCTCTCATAAAAGAGCTCAGAATGCTCAGCTCAAAGCTAGAGAGCTTTGGTCCCGTGTTAGCAGAGTTTGAATTTGAAGAGATGGGATCACCTCATAGTGAAGAGCCTTGAACACTGGCTTCTGGAACACATTTGAGACCCCAGAACCCCATCTGAAAATCCTGTGTTTGGAGTCTGGTGCCCAGGCTTCAGCCCCAGCCATCTTTCTGTGAACACAGATAGGCTGGTTTCTTACTGACCCCAAATGTGTGTGGTGATTCAGGAGTCAGTGACTTTCCAGGATGTTGCTGTGGACTTCACTGAGAAGGAGTGGCCTTTGCTGGATTCTTCTCAGAGAAAACTGTACAAAGATGTGATGTTGGAGAACTACAGCAACCTCGCCTCAGTGGGTAAGGCTGGAATCGTTTTTCTATTTGAGTATCAGATGTTTTTGTTTTGAGTACTCGCTGTGACCCAGGGACTGTGGGGATTTGGAACATAATTGTGACCAAGCCAACCTGGTGCCCCACTCACAGTGTCTCCTAGTGGTTGTTGAGAACTGTTCACTGCCTTGACCTTGGACATTGTCACGTGTGTCTGAGTTTGGGCATAGGTTTCTGAGTTAAGAAATCCTCATTCCTTTGAAGGGCAAAGCATGTGGGTCTTTGTGGTTTTGTGTTTTATGAAAGTCTTTCGCTGTGTTCCTTAGAAATTTGGCACCATCATTTTGCTGCTCCTAAGTCAGACTTGTCCATCTTCAGAACACTGAAGACCAAAACATTGACCCCAGCCTAACGGAAGGGGTTGTCCTCTGCACGATCCTCCCTCAACATGTGTCTTTCCCCGTGAGTAGGGTATCAGGTGGGCAAACCCAGCCTCATCTCCCACTTGGAGCAAGAAGAGGAGCTGAGGACAGAGGAGAGGGCACTTCACCGAGCCACATCTCCCGGTAAGCACCAGGCAGACACAGGTACTTCTGGGTACCTGCTGTATTCAGTGATGGGATGGAGGGAGATCCATTAGGAAATGTCACCCAGGGAAGTTTGAGAAGGCTCCTTCTCTGTTCTCTCACAAGTCCTTTGGTCCCAGTGTCCTGTCCTGTGTGCGTGTGTATTTATTTGTTCTTTTGTTGCCTTTGTCTATCTACTTACTTTCTGTTGAGATATAACTGACATGACACTGTTAGTTTCAGGTGTACAACATAATGATTTAGTATTTGTATATATTGCAAAGTGATCACCACAGTAAGTCTCATTAACATCCATTACCACACAGTTAGAAAAATATTTTTTCCTTGTGATGAGAACTTTTAAGACTTACTGTCTTAGCAGCTTTCAGTGCATTATAGTATCATTAACTGTAGTCACCATGCTGTGTGTTATATCCCCAGGACTTAACTTATTTCGTAACTGGGAGTTTGTACCTTTTGTGTACATTTTGACCTCCTTCACACCCATTTGTCCACCCACCACGTCTGACAACCACCACCAGTCTGTATCCATGAGCTCAGTTGTTCTGTTTTTTTGGGGGGGGAGGGAGGTGGTTTGGTTTTTGTTTTTAGATTCCACACTTCAGTGAGATACGGTATGTTTTCCTTTGTCTTCTCTCACTTAGCATTATGCCCTCTATCCTTGTTGTCTAAAATGGGAAGTCCCTTCTTTATGGCCGAATAATACTCCATTGTGTGTATATACCACATTTTCTTTATCCGTTCATCTCTCAAGGGACTCTTAGGTTGCTTCCATTGCCTTGGCTATTATAAGTAATGCCACTGTGAATGTGGGGGTGTGGCTATCTTTTCAAGGTAGTGTTTTTGTTTCCTTTGAATATATACCCAGAAGCAGAATTGCTTGATGTCATCTTTAAATCCAACATGTCCACTTGAGCTCTGTCCCATCCTTTCATTCCACTCAGCATTCCTGGGCATACTGTTTCTGTTGTTATCAGTGTCAGTCTTCGAAGAATTTATTCCTTAGTGAATCACGTTAAACGTCTCCCCTGTCACTGCCAGATGCCTCACACAGTCACAGTTCACGGACATTTTAACTTACATGTGTGTTTCTCCCCTTTAACATCACCTTTCCTTCTTTAGGGTTAGTATTGCAAAGAAATTCCCTCCTCTCCACCCCACACACCCCCCCGTCTTTGTCACTACCATCTCACCATCTTCTTTCTCCAGCTAATATTTCTGTCCCCGGGTTAATATTTTACCAATTTGTTTCAGATTGGGAGACTCCATCTAAAAGCAAATGGTCCATTCTCATGGAAGGCATTTTTGGAAAGGAAACATCCAGCGGTGTGACAGTGGTAAGAGTTCCTTGGGATAATCCCAGGTATCCCATGCTGGGAGGAGACAGGGGCAGTCTCAGAAAAGCAGCTCAAGAACCAAGCGAGTGGCCTTCCCTGAGAGGCAGCTGTTTCAGACACTGAATATCACAGCTTTGGGGGGAAAACCGTAAACCGAGCCTCAAATTTCTTGACTTAAGAGTTGTGGCAACAAATCTTTCTGTAACTGTGCCTCAGCCAGTGAGTGTTGGGGCTCAATTCAGATTTAAACAGTTAACAAGGTACATATGCAAAAAGCTTTGTGGAAGTTACAGCCATGGAGCCTTAGGGGGTGGCGTCCACCTTTTTATTTGTTAGAGCCCAGATGGGGCAGGAGCAGGGTTTTGGCACTGCAGATCATGACGTCATTCGTCACAGTGATGTGCTTCTACTTCCAGTAATTTGTGTGGGGATTACTATAGATGATTTGTAGGTATGTGGTGAGTTGTGGGAAATGCCTTAGTCAGCACTCCTCTCTTAACAGGAAAGAACACGTCTCGGAGAGAAATCCACCGAGTACACTCACCTGTTTGAAGTCTTCAGCATGGGCACTCATCTTACTCAGCAGATGGGAAGGCACGCTGGCAAGAGGCCCTATCACCGCCGGGACTGTGGGGCAGCTTTCAAGAACAGGTCACATCTCGCCCAACATGTGAGCATTTACAATGGGAGGAAAATGCATGAATGTCACCAGTGCCAAAAAGCCTTCACCACAAGTGCGTCCCTTACGCGGCACAGGAGAATACACACAGGGGAGAAGCCCTACGAATGCAGCGCCTGTGGGAAAGCCTTCAATGATCCCTCCGCCCTCAGGAGTCACGCGAGAACTCACCTCACAGAGAAGCCCTTTGACTGCAGTCAGTGTGGAAATGCCTTCCGAACCCTCTCCTCGCTAAAGATACATATGAGAGTTCACACTGGGGAGAGACCTTACAAGTGTGACGAGTGTGGGAAGGCGTATGGCAGGAGCTGCCACCTCATTGCACACAAACGAACCCACACTGGAGAGAGACCCTACGCATGCCACGACTGTGGGAAAGCGTTCCAGCATCCCTCCCATCTCAAAGAGCATGTCCGCAATCACACCGGAGAGAAACCCTATGAATGCACACAGTGTGGAAAAGCCTTCCGATGGAAGTCGAACTTCAACTTGCACAAGAAGAACCACATGGTAGAGAAAACATACGAATGTAAAGAATGTGGGAAATCCTTTGGTGATCTCTTGTCACGGAGAAAACACATGAGAATTCATATTGTAAAAAAACCCATTGAATGTAGACAGTGTGGGAAAGCGTTCCGGAACCAATCCATCCTTAAGACACACATGAATTCTCACACTGGAGAGAAACCCTATGGGTGTGATCTGTGTGGGAAAGCCTTCAGTGCAAGCTCAAACCTGACCACACACAGGAAAATCCACACTCAAGAGAGACGCTATGAATGTGCCGCCTGTGGGAAAGTGTTTGGGGACTATTTATCCCGGAGGAGGCACATGAGCATTCATCTGGTAAAGAAACGTGTTGAATGTAGGCAGTGTGGGAAAGCCTTCAGAAACCAGTCAACCCTCAAGACACACATGAGAAGTCACACAGGAGAGAAGCCGTACGAGTGCGATCATTGCGGGAAAGCCTTCAGCATCGGCTCCAACCTTAATGTGCACAGAAGGATACACACTGGGGAGAAGCCCTACGAATGCCTGGCCTGTGGGAAAGCCTTCAGTGACCATTCATCCCTTCGGAGCCACGTGAAAACTCACCGGGGAGAGAAGCTTTTCGTGTCATCCGTGTGGAAGAGGCTCCAGTGATGGGTCTCCTTTAGGGGAAGCACGAGAGCTCAGACTGGGAGGCAGGAGCACTTTGATGCACTCAGCTGGGCACAAAAGAGTACCTGTAACAGGAGAAATCCGTTTGTGTCCTGGCTGGGGAAGACCTGTTTTTTCTCATCACTATGGGGCTTTGTGAGAACTCACGCTGGGGGCAAAAATGTACCTATGGTGTGCAGAAGCCATCAGTGTACATTCAGCTCTTCAAAGGAAAGGAGAACTCTAGGGAGAGAAACCGTAGCTTGGTATTTAATGTCAAAATGACTTTAGCACCACCCGGCACCTTGTGGGCATATGAGTAAGCACACTAGGGAGAATCTCTGTAAATTCACTCTCTGGGCAAACCTTTACTGGTCTCACCCTGTATTCTTCATGAAAGAAATCATACTAAAGAGATAAATTCTGTAAAGTAGGAATGTGGGAAGGTCTGTAACAGAGGTCAGCAAATTGGCCAACTGTCTATTTTTCTATGGCTTGCAAGCTAAGAATAGTTGTTCCGTTTTTAAAGAAGAAAAATGACAGACACCACATGCAACTCACAAAGCCTAAAAGCCTTACTTTCTGGTCCTTTACAGAAAAACTTGGCCACCGCTTGGTCTACAGCAGCAGTTCCTAACTGGGGGTGATTTTGCTTGTCCGGAGACATTTTAAGTTGTTAAAGCTCGGGGGTGGGGGAGATGCTTCTGGCACATGACGCACAGGAGCCCCCGCAGCAAAGAATTATGTGGCCCAAAATGTCAGTATTGCTGAGGTTGAGAAACTTAGCCTGGGACAGCCCCTCAGTTTTTGTGAAATGTTACCATGCTAGGAGAGGTTTCTGTTTAAAACTTCAAAAATATCAGTGTAATTCTTTCAGGAAACATGAGAACCCACACTGTAGACAGTCCCCACATGGAGATGATTTTAGCCACAGCTCCCTCACTTGTGCTTATGAGAATTCATACCCTGATGGAATTTTCTAGTGAATATGAAATTTATCAGTCTTTCATCATGAAAACAGACCCATACTCATTAATTCGTAGTCTCTGTCTTTAAGATTTTGCTCCTCTAACGCTTAGGCTTCATCCCACAAGGTTTGTATATAGTATTTTTATTATAAGTTCATTCCTGATACGTGTTAATTTCCTTCTGGATAATTTACTGGACCAGTGGACTATTTAGAATTGTGTTAAAAATACCATGTAACGTGGGTATATTTAATACCTGTTTGTTACGAGTGTCTGATTCAAATGCCTTGGCTCAGCGCACAGTGTCTTCCATCAGATGGATCCTCTGGAATGTTCTCGGTCTCCTGTCCAACCAAGAGTGACGTACACATCTCATTGCTCTCCCAGTGTCTCCTCTTTCATGTCAAGAAAATCCAGCTTTTGTCCAATTACTAACATACGCTATTTTTAAAAGTCCCTCACCAGTTTTCTGCAGCCAGTACAGTCTTTGTCTCAGCCTGGCCGTTGACCGATAAACAGATGAGAAAGAGCTAGAAAAGGGATTATTCTTACCTGGATTCTTCTACATGTTGTGTTTTTGCTGTTTGCCCTACTTCTCACCTTGCAAGGAGATCAGGTACCTAGTGTTCAAAGATCCATGTTGTGACCATGAGGATGCAAGCCGCAGGCTAAAGAGGATCCTGCAGAAAAGTCGCAATGATCCTGGCCTCCTCAGTAGCTTCTTTGTCTGCACTAGCCATGGATTTGTTATTTCCAGACTTCCTATTACAGGAGGAAAAAAATAAAACATTATTGGCGTAAGTGGCTTTGGATATTTCATTGTTGATCAGTTTAATAATTTTTTGGTTGGGGGAGGGTTCTGCTACTCCCAAGTGGTTGCCATCTGTAATACATCCACTCGTTCATTAGTAAGGTTTTATAACTGCCTTGTGTGTGGATAGAATCTGCTTATACTTTTAACCATTGGATATGGGTTTTTTTTTACATCTTTAAGCCATGTTTTAAAATTGTATTTCAAGTCTTTGACATGAGTATTTATTTTCTTGACCTAAAGTAAGTGTATCAGTTTTTACAAAAGCCCTAAGAAGCAAGTACCGTCACTATCTCCCTTTTGCATGTGGAGAATCAAAGGCAAGCAAGTTTAGGTTGCACAAGCCAGTAGTAGTGCTTGTATTTTAGTCCCACTTCTCTTATGTCAGGTCCTGTTCTGTCTATGCCCTACATCTATAGCAGTGAATTGGGATTTTTGCCCTCATGGTGCTTACGTTCTGCTTAGGGTAAGGCACCTGAAGAACAAATGAGTAAATAAATACGTTGTATGTCAAATGGTGGTACACACAGTGGAGGAAAAATTGAGCATGGTGCTGCTGAGAGTGTATGCAGGGCTTCAGCAGACCTGTTGGGTGGGCAGGGAAAGCCCGCCTTTAAGGGAGCATTTGAGCAGAGATGTCCATGAACTTTGCGCCATATTGTATTCTGGGGAAGAGCACCCTTGGCAGTTCAGAGGCCATGAAAAAGAAAACTGCTTGGGACCGCCATGCAGTAGCCAAGGGGCCGGTGTGGCCAGAGTGGAGCAAGCTTGGGACTCACAGAAGATGAGGCTAGAGCTGTGTCAGGATCCCGATCTTGTGGGTTTACTGGAAGGACTTTGCCTTTTATCCTCCATGTGGTAGGAAGTCGGTGGAGGGATTTGAACAGAGGGGTGGCAACTGTCCAATTTCTCTTTGAATCACTGGCTTCCAGGTTGACAGGCTAAGGAAGGGCAATGTACAAACAAGCCTGTTAGAAAGTCGTTGCAGTTAGATACACTGGGGGCCAGATTGGTGGTAGTAGGGGGGGTTTGAGAAGCACATGGATGAACGTAGCTGTAATTTTCACTTCCAGACAGCAATCATTTGTTCCCTGCAGTGTACCTTTCATATTGCCAGACATGACTTCTGTTTCCCCCAGTTACAAACACTGCTACTTAAAGAGATGGTGTGCATACTTTCTAGAGTGTCCGTGAGTTATTCCAGGAGTGTGAATTGCTGGTGTAAGGTCTGTGCACGTTCAACTTAACAGTATTGATGCCAAAACCATTTCTGCAGTGATATGTGTTACCGTTTAAAACAGGTTTGACTGAAACACAAAACTGCTTAATTCACACATGTACAGCTTAATTCTTTGAACAAATCCATGTAATCAGCAGGCAAGAAGAAATCCTACCAGCGTAGCTGACATCCCTTCTTTGCTTCATGCCCACGACAAATCCTGCCCTACTCTGCATGGGGAACCAGAATTCTGACTGACCACATGGCTTGGGTTTTTGGTTTTTTTGTCTTTGAGCTCTATACGGAACCATACAGTATGTTCTTTCGTGTTTGTCTGACTTTACCCATTATTTCTGTGAAATTGATCCTTATTATTTAGAGTATCTCTAGCTAGTACATTTTTGTGTGTGTTCTGTCTGAATATTCCACAATTATTTAAGCAGTTTGTGTCACTTGACATTTCACTTTTCAGTTGGGGGCTATTGTGAATAATGCTGCTATGGACATCCTTTAACATTTCTGATAGTGCACAAGTGCATGTATTTCTCTTGGGTGTATACCCTGGACTGAAATTGCTGGGTCATACGGGGTGCATATGTTCATTTTGTAGATGATGCCAAATTTCCAAAGTGGTTGTGCAAATTTGTTTCCCAACAAGCTGTTTTATAGAGTTGGAAAAGATACTAAAGTTGCCTGCCTTTTTCTTACTGTGATTTACATATTCCATTATGAGCCCTCTGGATGGATGTTTTGCATGTTTTCTCCCATTCTGTGGCTTGTCTCCAGTGTTTTAAATGGTGTTTTTGGTTGAAATGAGTTCCTAATTTTAATTTTGTGGACAGCACTCTTCTGTTCCTGTGTAAGAAATATTTGCCACCCAGAAGGCAAGAAGACATTCTATGATTTCTTCTACAAGTCGGTTTTGGTTTTGGATTTTGGTTTTAGTATATACCTGTAGATCTATATTTAGATCTACAGTCCATGTGAAATTGATTTTTGTACGTATTGTGTGAGCTGTTAGTTTTATTTTTTCCATATTGACCCAGCATTATTATTGAAATGAGTTCCTAATTTTAATTTTATGGACAGCACTCTTCTGTTCCTGTGTAAGAAATATTTGCCACCCACTATTTTTTTTAAAGATTTATTTATTTGACAGGGAGAGAGTGAGAAAGGGAACACAAGCAGGGGGAGTGGGGGAGGGAGAGGCAGGCTTCCCGCTGAGCAGAGGACCCTGGGATCATGACCTGTCATGACCTGAGCCGAAGGCAGATGTTTAACGACTGAGTCACCCAGGCGCCCCAGAAATATTTGCCACCCAGAAGGCAAGACATTCTATGATTTTTTCTACAAGCTGGTTTTGGTTTTGGTTTTTGGTTTTAGTATGTACCTATAGATCTATATTTAGATCTACAGTTCATGTGAAACTGATTTTTGTATGTGTTGGGTGAGCTCTTAATCTTACTTTTTTTTTTTTCCATATTGACCCAGCATTATTTATACAAAAAGTACATCTTGGCTCTAGGAATTTGAGATGTCACCTTTTTCATATATTGATAATTCTGAGCTTTTTATTCTACTGATTTATTTGTTCATGTACCATACCACAGTGTTTAAATTATAAGAAGCTTTGTAATAAGCTTTAATGTCTGGAATGTCTAGTTCCTTCTCATGGTTGTTATTTTTCAGTGTCTTCCTAGGTATTCTTGCTTGGTTCTTTTTTTTTTTTTTTTTTTAAGATTTTTTTTTTTCTTTTAACCTCTATACCCAACATGGGGCTCAAATTTACAACCCTGAGATCAAGAGTCACATGCTCTACTGACTGAGCCAGCCAGGTGCCCTGTTTGTTTTTTATACGCACTTTCCTTTTAGCTTGTCCAACTCCATAAAATTAGCTTGTTGGTATTTTTATTGTCATTCCCTTGAATTTATAAGTTAACTTGAGAACTTGTTCTATAATGTAAAGTCATCTTATCCAATAACAGAGGTTGTCTTTCCATTTGTTTGGGTCTATTTTCGTGTTTGGAATGTGTAAAAGTTTTCCATATACAAGTTTTATACGTTCTTGTTAAGTTTTCTCTAAGTATTTAGTCATTTATTATAAATGAGCTTTTCTCTACCTTTGTTTCCTGTTCACAGTTTTTGTACATGAAAGCTACTAATTTTGTAACTTGGCTACTTCACTGAATTATTTTTTGAGTTAGCTGTATTACTGGTTTTCTGGGTTTTCCGGGTATACTGCTATATCACCTGCAAATTGAGATATCTCTACTTGTTTACCAGTTCTTACACCTCTAATTGTTTTTGCTTGTCTAATTGCATTGGCTAATAACCTCTAGTACAATGACAAATAGTAGCAGAGATCGTGGGCATCCTTGCTTTGTTCTAGAGGAGGTGCCCCTGTTATTTTCCCATTAATTAAGATAATGTCTTTTAGAACTAAGGTATTATATTTATTTTATCATATTGAGAAAATATCCTATATTCTTGAATGTTCTGTCATGAATGGGTGTTGAATTTTGTCATTTTTTTTTAACATCTATGAAGAGGATCATGATTCTTCTGATTTATTAATAAAGTATATGATATTAATAAATATCTCAGTATTCAACAAATCTTGCATTCCTGGAGTGAATTTCACTTGTTCATGATGTATTATTTTCTCAATGTGGTGCTGGATCCTTCTTGCTAGTATTTTGTTTAGAATTTCTCATTGGTATTCATGTATGATAATTGGTCTGTAGTTTCTGCTGTCTCTGTCTGGTTAGGTATTAGTATTATACTTGCTTCATAAAAGGTATTGGGAATTTTTCCTTTGCCCTGCTCAGGGATCATTTATATGGCATTAGGACTGTGTGGTTCTGGAAGATTTGGTCAAATTCCCTGTGAAACCATCTGAGTCAAGTGCTTTTTAGTGGTATATTTCTTTAGGAATTTTCCTGCCTTAGAAATTGGTCTTTTTTGGGCTTTCTAACTTGAATCAGTGTTGGTAATCTGTGTTTTCCTAGGAAATTATCTATTTCATTCAGCATGGAGATCAGCAACGTAGTCTTACGATTTTAAGTGTTTTCTGATTCAGTGGTCATCACCTCTTAACTTTTTATATATTTGCTTTCTCTTTTCCTGGATCAAGTGAGCTATAGGTTTGTCTGCTTGTTTTTTTAAAAAATGGAATTTTGACTAATTAGATCTATTATTTTTCTGTTTTCCTCATTAATTTCTGCTTTTATCTCCACTCCTTCCTTATGCTTTGCTTTGGTTTATTTTTCTTTTTCCACTTTTTTTCTTAACCAGCAGTTAATTTATTCTTAATCTTTCATTTTATAGACAAGTGCTTCCTATATTGAATTTTCCTCTGATTACTGCTTTAAAGTGCATTTCATGGATTCTAATATGTAGTTTCGATCTAATAATAGTTTCACTATTTCTTTGAAATTCTGTAATTTCAGTTTGTATTTCCCCTTTCATTCAGGAGTTAGTAGAGGTTTTTAAATTCTGGTACAAGAGGTTTTTTTTCTTTCATTTTTGTTCATAAATGCTAGGTTTATTGTATGTTGAGTTTCTGCAGTTTGAATATTATAGGCCTAGATGGAGGTGTTTTGGGGGGGGTATTAATCCTGCTTGATCTCTCAGTTTTCTGGATCTGTGGTTTGGTGTCTAATTTTGGAAAATTCTCATCTGTTATTACTTAAAATATTCTGTTGTTTTCTCTTATTCTCCCCCCTCCCTTGGTATTCCCATAACACATATGTTACACTTTTTGTAAATTGTCCCATGGTTCTTGGATATTTTGTCTGTCTTTTTCATTCTCCTTTCTCTCTCTCTCTCTCTCTCTCTCTCTCTCTCTCTTTGCATTTCTGTTTTAGAAGTTTCTGTTGAAGCATCATCAAGTTCTTTTCTCAGCCAGGTCCAGTCTGCCACACCCATCAAGGACAATCTTCATTTCTGTTGCAGTGCTTTTGATTTCTGGCATTTCCTTTTGATTCTTAGTTTTCATTTTCAGCTTACATTACTCATTTGTTCTTGCATGTTTGCTTTTTCCATTAGAACACGTAGCATATTAACTGTAGTTATTTTAGATTCCTGGTCTGAGCATTCCAAAATCTCTGCTGTAACTGAGTCTGGTTCTGATGCTTGCTTATCTCGTGTTAGACTGTTCTTACTTGCCTTTTAACAAGCCTTGCAATTTTTTTTTTTTTGAAAGTTTGACATGATGTGTTAGGTAAAAGGATCAGCAGTAATAGGACCTCACTGTGTTTTAGTTTTTTTGGCTAGAGGTTAGCCTGTGTTTACGGGGTGCTGTGTGTGAGAGGCCAGAGTTTCCTCTGGTGTCCCTGTTTCCTTTGGGTTCTTCTAGAGATTCCTTAAATCTGGGCTAAGATTAGCAACTCTTTTATTTTTTTAAAGATTTAATTTATTTATTTGACACAGAGAGAGACACAGCGAGAGAGGAAACACAAGCAGGGGGAGTGGGAGAGGGAGAAGCAGGCTCCCCACTGAGCAGGGAGCACGATGCGGGGCTCGATCCCAGGACTCTGGGACCATGACCCGAGCCAAAGGCAGATGCTCAATGACTGAGCCACCCAGGCGCCCCGATTAGCAACTCTTAACTGGAGTCTCCTTTATACAGGAGCCAAGAAGATCCTTCTCATTCTTCAGTTTTAAGCAACAAGAGTTCCTTTATGTTTGTTTTTAGCCCACTGCTACTTTTCTGAATTCAGGATAAAAGCTGATTTTTTTTTTAAGTCTACCAATTATTCCTTGAGAATAAAATAAATAGATACGCTTCCTAAAAATAAGTTCCAGCCTTGGGCCTTTGACAGTTGTTTTGACGTAATATTTGGTGTAATTTTTTTAAAGTTTCTCTACCTTATCCAAGAAGAGGGCAGATTTGAATACTTTACACAGATTAACCTGCTGTCTTCCACACACCACGTTGTCATTTGCCTACAGGAGACCCAGGGGAGAAGAGTGCTCACTTGCTGGAAACAGACCATTGTGTCAGGTGCTTACACTGTGGTGGATCGGTTTGGCTGACGGTGCATGACGCAGAGGGGTGCGTGGTCATGGGTTTGTGTCCTCCGTTTGCCTTCCTGAAATCCCTGCACCCTTCCATTCCACTTGCAGTGCCTCCATGCCGATGAGTGTGTGAGCAGTGGTGGCACTTGCACGTCTGTGAGCAGAGGTGCTCATCGTCCCACAGGCCTCGGTGAAAGTTTTCCCAGGCTCATTAGAGAAGAGCAGTCATTGACTGGCATTTGCCTAGGTCTGGGGGAAGAAAAAATGCATACCCTAGAGGCCAGGCCACCGGAGAGGAGAGCACTTTCTCTGCATTGATGAAAATGGGGCTGTGTCTTTAATTAGGAGCCTTGGGAGTTCAGCTCAGCTACACTCTGTGCAGTCCCTCCATCACATCAATTAAAAGTAGAAGGAAACTCAATTCCCAGTGACACCTAAGCGGCCTGGAACTCTTGCATCTCATTGCACTTCCTTGCCATTGTCAGGAGAAACATGGTCTTGTACATGATCTCTCTGGAGGGGCCCTCTAATTACTCTTACCAATCTTCATGTCTCACTCTAGCTTTCTGTGCTTTGGGTTTTTCCAATAGGAACTAGCTCTATCCTCTAATGTTTGGGTAACTCCAGTCCACTCAGGTTACCCTCCAGGGAGCCAACGAATATCAATGAAGTGCCTTACACTGAATTCGACTTTGAGAAGGGAGACAATAAGAAAAGGTACTGTCTTCAAGGAAATAAAGGTCTAGGAAGAGATAATGTAAACAGGTCACTCGTGTGGGCAGTTAGTCCATTCAGGAAGTCCCAAGGAGGGTATATTGACAACGAAATCCACATAGAGGTGATGTAAGCTAAGTGTAGATGGCTTATGTATAGTGTTCGTGATCAGAATTGAATAAACATGCCAATCCCAGGTGCAAAGGCACAGACAAATCACATTCTCTGACAGGTAACAGAATTCTCTTTGAAATGGTAGATAAAGCCGGAGGGGTAATGTGGGATGGATTATATAATACACAACATATGCATCAACCTTTTATGTATCAGTCTCAAACATTAATTGGAAGTTGATGGAAATCCACTGATGTTTGATGAGATTTGCAGTTTAGAAAGGTAACCTGGGCCCTTTAGTAGAATGTATTTATATTTGCTGCATAATAAACTACCCAAAACTGGTTTAAAACCACCACCATATGGTTTATTGTTGGTTGACAGTTTTCAGCTGTCCCTGGCGAGGCTCCCTCATGTCTGCCATGGCCTGCCAATTTGGCTTGTCAGCACCTTCACTCAAGACATCCTCCTCCTACAAACCAGACAAGGCCTGGACCTGCCCTGCCAGAGCATTCCAGAAGATCAAGAGCTCCCCTGTGCAAGTTTTGGTCAAGTCCCTGTTTGTGTCATCTTTGCACTCCATTGACCACTGCAATCACATGGCTGGGCCCAGAGCGGAGGGAGAGGGGGAATCAGTCACCTAGAAGGGGTGGTGGCCATTTCTGGAATCTCCACAGAGCCAGTGTTTTAATTGCAAGAGTCCAAATGAGAGGGCGCCTGGGTGGCTTATTCAGTTAAGCATCTGCCTTGAGCTCGGGTCGTGATCCCAGGGTTCTGGGATAGAGTCCCAAGGCGGGCTCCCTGCTCAGTGGGGGGTCTGCCTCTCCCTCTACCCCACCCCCTGCTCATTCTCTCTCTTTCTCTCACTCTTGAATAAATAAAATCTTTTTTTTTAAAGATTTTATTTATTTATTCATGAGAGAGAGAGAGGCAGAGGGAGAAGCAGGCTCCCAAGGAGCAGGGAGCCCGATGCGGGACTCGATCCCAGGACCCTGGGATCATGACCTGAGCCAAAGGCAGACACTTAACCATCTGAGCCACCCAGGCGCCCTTAAATAAATAAAATCTTAAAAAAAAAAAAAAAGTCCAGGGGCGCCTGGGTGGCTCAGTCGTTAAGCGTCTGCTTTCGGCTCAGGTCATGATCCCAGGGTCCTGGGATCGAGTCCCACATCGGGCTCCCTGCTCCGCGGGAAGCCTGCTTCTCCCTCTTCCACTCCCCCTGCTTGTGTTCCTGCTCTCGCTGTGTCTCTCTCTGTCAAATAAATAAATAAAATCTTTAAAAAAAAAAAAAGTCCAAATGAGAGAACAGCTTTATAGAGATGTAACTGACATATAATGAACTGCACACGCTTAAGCAATTTGCTAAGTTTTGGCCTTGCGTACAGAACTCAAGGTGGAGGTTCTCATGCCCTCTGGTGGAAGATGCAGAGATCTGAGCAGGCACTTGTTTGGAGTGCCTTAGAGTCACATGTGGAAACAGCTCGTGGTGTATAGGCAGGGAAACAAACTGTGCTGGAACAGGAGAAAATTCGGCTTACCAGTGAGAAGCTGATCACCTCAGGAGACCAAAGCACAGTCTTTTATGAGACTGAAATTCTTTGTACAGCTGCTAAGACCCTGGCAATAAGCAGCTCCTATCTGAAGGGCCTCAAAAACCATAAATCTGGCTAATTCCCTTGTCTCCTGTGAACTTCTGGTGCAGAGTAAACCCTGCAAGCTCTGATCACTGGCTCTATGTTTCTGTACCTTGAAGTCTTGATGGAGGCAGGTGAAAGCAGCACTTTCCAGCCAGGTTCTCCCGGAGGCCCACCATTCATTTGTGTTTTTAGAGACATTAGAGCCTTTATATCTCTTTTCTGGGCATTGGAAATGATAGGTGTTGTCTATGGATGGCATCCTATCTGGTTGGTTGATAGAAGTCCCTTTTTAGTAGAGAAGTATGAATCAGTTGGATGAGAGCGGCCTTTGATCCTATGTTTTCTTTTCCTGGGTGTGTCTCCAGTCATTTGCAATGGGATTTATGATAAGTTTAGGCAATAGTTCTTGATGGAGTTGGGTTTGGCCACTAGATGGGACAAGAGGGGGGGCGGTGTCCACATCCTTGAGACAAGGCCATAGAGACTCAGCCAACTTTGTACAAAAGAACCTCTTAGCCCTTCAGCTGGTGGGAGAAAGTGCACCTTATTGGCTGTCAGGACATCCGTCCTGCCTCAGACCTAAGGAGGACAGAGCTCCTCCAAGAAGGGAGGTCAGCAGGTGGAGAGATATGTCTTCCCCCAAAGGAATCCACTTGGAGACGGAATTCATAGGAATGTCTCACCTCAGAGATCAGCAGAGGACATTTTCAGATAATACAGTTACAGTGATTTCTGTGAATCAGCAGTCTCTGCTGCTCTTCCACTTTTAGCATCTGCCTCCTTAAGGTGGTTGTAAAGATGAACTGAGTTAACACATGTAGGTGCTGGACTAATGGCCTGGCATACTGTGAGCACCAAACAGTCAATTTAAACAAGTATTTACTGAGATGTTCCACACACTTGGCATTGGAGTTAAAGCAGATAATAAAAACAGACAAGGTTCTTTTCCCCTGGGGTTTTGAGATCACTGAAAGTGTTCATCTGTTTACTCAACAAATGTGCCCTGGTGCTTCCATTCCTGACCTATGGCCTCCTGCATGCAAACACTCTTGACTAGAGGCCAGTATCTTGAGTCCATTCTATCCTGGGCCTTAGGAAAACTAGCGTCTTCCCCCCTCACTTTGTATTTCCCGCATTTTTCCTTTCTTTGACTACTTTGTGTCATGACAGACCAGGTGGTTCTCATCCAGGAGTGATTTTGCCCCTAGGGGACATTTAGCAATGTCTGGAGACATTTTTTATCTTTATGACTAGGGTTGGGGAGGATGCTGCTAGCATCTAGTGTATAGAGGCCACAGATGCTGCTAAGCATCCTACAACACATAGGACAACCTCCACCACAAAGAATTATCTGGACCCAAATGTCAACAGTACCCAGGTTGAAAAACCCAGTGGTAGAGTAATAATTTCTATAAGCACTAAGTGGGAGACAGAAGGCAATCAGATACTGTTCCAGGCTCATTAGGATGGTCCTGTCCTCTTGGCTTCATCTAATTCTGCCCAGGTCACCAGGGAAGGATTTTCATGGAAAGGTTGGAAGCTAAGACCTTATTGCACTGAATAAAGTGATTTTTGTTTGAGAGGCAGTCAGTTTGTATTACACCCTCAGACACCTGCTGGGAAGAATGCAGCTGGGCATAGCTTTCCAGGGGGCAGGATCCTGCCAATAGGTCTAACTTTTTGGCACAAGATGGGGACACAAATAAATAAATGCTGCGTTTATAAATATGGTGCCCACTACTTTGTGAGAATCTCTATATAAAGAGAATTAACACTAGTTTTCTATAATCACCCCAACAGTTATTTACAAATGAAGAATTTGAGGTTGCTTAGAGGCAGAGAGTAAATATCCTAGTAAATGGTAAAGTTAGGATTCAAACATTGGAAACTGCCTGAGTCCAAATCTAGTGATCACCAAGAGGGTTCAACAGTCCTCAAATCGGCCTTAGACATTTTTTGCTTTCAGTTCAAGAGATCTACCCATTCTACCCAATCTAGCTCAACCAGTATAAAGGATGCTTTGCCCTCTCAGTTCCCTATTATAGGGAGTCTCTGTCTGGGGCCACTTCCTGTTCTAATCCTTAGTCTCTAGGTTCAGGAAAGTTCTCTCCTGGTCTGTGCGGATCTGACCTCCAGTGGTGGTACTCCTGGGGCTGTTCAGAGGGCTCAGCTTTGAACAGAACCCCTCTCCTATGTGGCTTCCTTGGTGCCCTGAGTCAGCTCAGTCCATCTCCAGAGCTGACTCCATCTAAACCCATAGCCTGTTCAATCCTCTTTAGTCAGTTTTTCCAAATCTGTCCTGCTGGTAATGGATCCCTCCCCTGTATCATCCCCCTTGCTCCATGGCAGTGCAAGCTATTGTAGTTAATATGGTTAAAGGGATGGCGACTGTTCACAGTCTCTGCACTTTTTAGTGGCCAACATAGACCTTGGTGGCCCTCATGGATCATGATGGCTGACACGTACTGAGTGCTTATGCCAGATGCTGTTCTGAGTGCTGTTATGCGTAATATTTTATCCCCACCAGAACTCTTCAAGAAATGTATTATCATTATTACAGATAAGGGCAAAGAGGCACAGAGAAGTAACTTGCGTAAGATCATGCCACTGTGAATAATGGCAGATTTGCACCCAGAACCCTCTTAGTCACTGTGCTCTGCTGCCCCTCAAAATATGGCAAGTGCTATGAAATCTGGACTGGTAGGGGGTTGGTGGTCAGGGTAGGCCTCTTAAGAGCTGACGGTTTTTATTTGAAGCCTGGTTTTGAGAAGGAGCCAGGCATGTGAAGATAGCAAGTAGATTGCTTCTTATGTGGATCAACGAAGGCCAGGATTTTCTTTCAGTTAAAATAGACACTACAATGAGTTTCCTAAGGAAGCTTCTTATTAACATCCTAAGTATAGGTCAATGGCCACCACCAAAACAAGATTTAGTAAGTAAAATTTTATGGGGTGAGGGAGGTCAGTATGACCCCATCCAAATAGGTAATGGTTTCCACACTGAGACCAGGGAAACCCATGGTCCAGCACTCACAGTGCTAGAAGCTAGAACATAACTGAGAAGGGTGAAGTTGAGTCAGTAACGTGAAACACTTGTCACTCCTGCCCCCCTTTTCCCCAATGCATTCCTCGATTTGCCTTCTCCCTTGATGCTTACAGGAGTCTGTGTCCTTGAAATAGTGTATTTTCATGAGAAGTTTAGTTATTGGTTGACCATTCTTTTTCTTGGATGGACGATAAGACTTTTAGTGTGCTGCCTCAAGTCTGTCTTCGGTTCAGGGATATTTTTCTTCTAGTAAATCATGAATATTATTTATGTTCTGTCTTCAGATTACATATTCAGGAACACCAGTTATCAGCACCTTGGATCTCTGTTGTCTGTCCTTAGCTTTGGTTATCTCACTGAGAGTAAGCTCCTCTCCTGAAAAGTCTCCTCAGAGCCCTTTTCATGTCCCTGTTCTTCAGACTGTAGATGAAGGGGTTCAGCATGGGGGTGACCACTGTGTACATCACTGAGGCTATTGAGCCCTTTCTGGAGGGATGAGTTGTTCCAGAAGTGAGGTAGACCCCAAGGCCTACACCATAGAACAAGGAGACAACCAAGAGGTGAGACCCACAGGTGGAAAAGGCTTTATACTTCCCTGCAACAGAGGAAATGCCCATTATGCAGGAGATAATTCTAGAATAAGAAAAAAGGATCCCAGTCAGGGGAATAACACCCAGCAGGCCAGTTACAAAATACAGCAGGATGTCATTGGCAAGGGTGTCAGAGCAGGCAAGCTTGAGGATCTGAGTAAGTTCACAGAAGAAGTGGGGGATTTCTGTCCCTTTGCAGAAGGACACCCTCAAAAACATCAAGCTTTGCAACAAAGAATATGTCAGGCAGATTAACCAAGAAAGCAGAAGCAGGAGACCACAAAGGTGAGGGTTCATAATGACCGTGTAGTGCAGGGGGTGACAGATGGCCACAAACCGATCATAGGCCATCACTGTCAGGAGCAAATTATCTAGTCCAGCAAAAATCATGAAAAAATACATCTGGGTAAGGCAGCCTTCATCCGTGATGGTGTTGCTCCGTGTCTGGATGTTCACTAGCATCTTGAGGACAGTGGTAGAAGTGAAACCTATGTCACTGAGGGACAGGTTGGAGAGGAAGAAGTACATGGGGGTGTGGAGGTGAGAGTCAGAGCTGACGGCCAGGATGATGAGCAGGTTCCCAAGAACGGTGACCAGGAACATGGACAGGAACAGCCCAAAGAGGAGGGGCTACGAGTCCCTATCTTCTGAAAGTCCCAAAAGGATGAATTTTAAAACTCCTGTTTGGTTCCCTGCTTCCATATGACTTATGGAAATTGCCTGGAAAGAGGCAAGAATAATGTTAAAATGATGACAAAACAAGAGCATGCCATACATTTCAAACTCATGAGGTCTTATGTCTTACCTAAGAGTCGTGATTTCTTTAGTCGACCAAACTCTCTTTCAGTAACACCCTCCCCTTCCTGTTTGTATCACTACTACCAGGATCACCTCTTTAAAATGAATGGCCCAGGGCACCCAGGAGGCTTAGCAGAACATGGGTCTCTTGATCTTGGGGTTATGAGTTCGAGCCCCATGTTGGGTGTGGAGATTGCTTAAAAATAAAATCTTAAATAAAGAGGCTCCTGGGTGGCTCAGTTGGTTAAGAATCTGCCTCTGGGGGGTGCCTGGGTGGCTCGGTTGGTTGGGCAGCTGACTTCGGCTCGGGTCATGATCCCAGGGTTCTGGGATCAAGCACCACGTCAGGCTCCCTGCTCAGTCGGGAACCTACTTCTTCCTCTCCCTCTGCCTGCCTCTCTGTCAAATAAATAAATAAAATCTTTAAAAAAAAAAAAAGAATCTGCCTTTGGCTCAGGTCATGATCTCAGGGTCCTGGGATCACGCCCTGCATGGGGCTCCCTGCTCAGTCGGGAGCCTGCTTCTCCCTCTGCCTGCCACTTTCCCTGCTCTCTCTCTCTCTCAAATAAATAAATAAAATATTTTAAAAATAAAATAATAAAATGAATATCCCATACCATGCGGGGGTCTCCTCTGCATCATCCCCAACTCATGGTTGTGCAACCTCGCTGTATAATTCCTATAAGAGGACCACTAACCTCATGAACACCTCCATTCTGCCTTGTGTCTGTGGTCTCTTCAAGTCCAGGGAAACAGAAGAGGGAGATCATTAGGACTTGAAGAATTCAGTGATATTTTTTGCTCTTATGATGCTTACCAGTGTCTGTCTGGTATCTTATCAGTATGTAGGAACAGCACATTCTCTGTCTGAAGTTTGAGTCAGAGAAGGATGCTGTGCAAAGATTTTATAGATAATTCTTTCGTTATTATAGTAACTCCTCCATTGCTGTCCCAATTTGTCCCTCTCTCACCATCATAATGATCAAGGTACCATAATATGCTTCAATTCCAAAGACTAAATCAGACACCCTCCCCCCTGCCCCAAACCATACATTCTAATTATATCATGCAAGTTCGTATTGTAGTTCCTTCCATTTCTTTAGGTTAGGACGACTATGCCTTTTCTATTTCATTTTCATTTCATATCCCAAGCACTTAACACAGTACCTGATGCTCTCTATATATTTTGGTTGAGAGAGTGACAGAAGAAATTTTCAGGGTATAGTAGAGACAATTCCCTATCATAAAATCCTTTAACCAGGAAGAGACACCATTTATCATGAAGGCTTTTCAACTCTCATAAAGGGAATGAGAGCCCTACCTTTTATTTCACCCTGTTAAAAAAAAAAAAAA